CCCCTTCCTCCTCTCTGGGGCAGCCCCTCAAATACTGGAAGGCTGCTATCCTGTCTCCCCTGGTCCTTCTCTTCACTAGACTAGCCAAGCCCAGTTCCTGCAACCGTTCATTGTATGTTTTAGCCTCCAGTCCCCAGTAGAAGTCTTAACTTGGTGGGTGTAGCGACATTTGAAGAAGCTTCGGAAGGATCAGCGAACATTTGGCCTACAGGATTTTGTTTTATTCTAGCATTATTTTGCCCTGTCCATAATTAGCTTAACAAGGGCAATGAGTGCTTATTATTTGACTGTAGGAACTTAACCAATAGCAATAGCATTAGACTTATATACCACTTCAGAGTGCTTTTACAGCCCCCTCTAAGCGGTTTACAGAGTCAGCCTCTTGCCCCCCAAACAATCTGGGTCCTCCTTTTATTCACCTCGGGAGGACGGAAGGCTGAGTCCACCTTGAGACAATAAGGATTGAACTGCTGGCAGTCAGCAGAAGTAGCCTGCAATACTGCATTCTAACCACTGTGCCACTAAAGCAACATAATACTACACACCTTCGAATCTGTCTTGGATACAAGTCCTTTCTTGGCTTCCCCGGTTTCACCTACCTCAGTAGATCTTTCCCTCTTCCGCAGGAAGCAACGGGCACGAGTTTGTCTTCCTTCTGAAAGGACACGAAGATCTCCGCCAGGACGAAAGAGTGATGCAGCTCTTCGGCCTCGTGAACACTCTCCTCGCGAACGACCCCACGTCCCTTCGTAAAAACCTCAGGTGCCTCCTCTTCCTTCATCCCAGCCAGCGTAGGTGGCCTGTTAGAAAAGCTGGTGGGGCCAGGTCTCCTTTCGGCACACAAGGGGAGATGCTAGAAATGCGTCACTTTGGAGGGAGCAACGGAATATAGGAGCAGAAACTCTAGAGGTGTAAGAGAGAGAAGAAACCTTGCCCTAACTTCCCTAGACACTTTCTTGAATGCTGCAGTAGTTAGTAATCCCATTTGAAGGATGGGAGGAAGGAGCATGAAGTTGCCAATGCCAGCAGGGTCTTTGTATGAGGCCCAACTTGGCCATGATTACAGGCTGCTCCAGCTAAGCCAACAGATGGTGCAAGGTCCTTAGGACAGCGTGTACTTCGGGCTTCCATGTGTCTGTGAGCATATTTTTTTAATCCCATTTGTCTGTTGAGCACAAATCCCAGCCTTTTCAACGCAGATTCTCCTTCCTTTCTAGCATCCAGCGCTATGCGGTGATCCCTCTCTCCACCAACTCTGGGCTTATAGGCTGGGTGCCTCACTGCGACACTCTGCACGCTCTCATTCGAGACTACCGGGAGAAAAAGAAGATTCTGCTCAACATTGAGCACCGCATCATGCTGAGGGTGAGCTCCTGCTACCTGCTCAATCCTGAGCGTTTTTCAACTCATTTGTTCTGTCCCTGAATCTCAGCTTGGTAGCCCTATGCAGTCGATCTCCCAAAGGTGCTTTTTCTTTTAATACAAGTTTTTTATTTATTTATTTATTTCTTATCTACAAACATATCGTGTGAACAGTGTGACACCTGGATGTCTTACGTTTTAAAACAAATATGACAGTATTTTCCATGCTCAATACATTTGACAATATTATAAAAAAAAAGGTGCTTTTTTCAAGAGACCATTGGGCTTCCTTTGTTTTTCTTTGAAGACGTTTTCGCTTCCCATCCAAGCAGCTTCTTCAGCTCTGACTAGATGGTGGGGAATGGAAGGATTTATATTCCTTGCAGACAGTTGGTCATTTGTGTCCTTTTAGAGGGTCCTTGAGGCCACTATCTGTGTCCTCAGGGTCACCTAAGTGGTGCAAATGAGTGCGGAGCTCCTTGGAACTGCTGGAAGGACTTGTAGACCGGAGATAGAGGATGCCGTATCCCTCCCTCTCTGTTGAAAGAGGGCTGTTCCATTTCGATATAGATGGCCTCTTTCAAACCTGTCCAAAATGTGGAGTTTGCTGTCTTCAGAAGAGTGGTTTTTGTCTTTTGAATGCACCTGGGCTGCTGAATCTAGTCTTGATGGTTTGTTCTCCAGTGTTGAGCCCTGCGTTTATGAAGTGGTTGTTTTGTTTCTCCAAATGACCAGCTGTCTTCAAGGAATATAAATCCTTCCCTTATTCCCCTCCATCCCGTCAGAGCTGAAGAAGCTTCTTGGGTGAGAAGCAAAACGTCTTCAAAGAAAAACCAGAAAGTCCAGTGGCCTTTTGAAAAAAGCACCTTTGGGACAACCATGACTTGGAGGACTGGAGAATCTCCCTAGACATATGCCATTCGTTTTACTCTGTGGAGCATCAGCCACACTTGAGTATCAGAATGGTTCCTGCATTTCTTTCCTACCTGTTCAAAGTTTTTTTTTCTTTTCCATGAAAAAGAATATTATTGACTAGTGGATGTTGTTAATCTAATTATTCTATTCACAGATGGCTCCTGATTACGACCATCTCACTCTAATGCAAAAGGTGGAAGTGTTCGAACACGCGGTCAACAATACAGCTGGAGATGACCTGGCCAAACTTCTGTGGCTGAAGAGTCCCAGCTCAGAGGTACAGCTAAGGGCCATTCCTGGTCCTTCTTACGAACCCTGAAAAAGGCCTCTCGTCTACTAGTCAAGATTAGAGAAAAAACTTGGATAAATGGTCACGCGGATAAAACGATCCACTCCGTGCTTACTTCTCATTTTCAAATACGTGTGTTAAGAGCTGGAGTAGCTACTGTTCCAACATTCTTGTCTTAAAAATAAGAAAAAAGAAAATTAGTCCCAATTGGGCATAAATCACCCACTTTTTGATACACCTTTTCTCCCTAGGTGTGGTTTGACCGAAGAACGAATTACACTCGTTCATTAGCTGTGATGTCGATGGTTGGCTACATTTTGGGTCTTGGCGACAGGCAAGTGAAGCTAAACTTATTTCCCTACAGAATAAAAAAAAAGGCATTCAGGATTCCCGCTCTGTTGACAGACATCAGCTGTTAATAAATCATAATTAATAATAGCGACGCAAGCCAATTTGTTGAATTGTATGCAGTGCCCATAGATAAATACAAACTAAACTTTGGAAAGAGAAGGGAACCGAAGAACCGAGCTGAGCAGAATTTTGCTTCATTTAATAGTTTGGGGGTTTTTTAATTATAGGATGTGACATTCTGAGTTCCTGCCACAAATTGTTCAGTAAATAATGTTGTTCCTTCGAACAGGCATCCCTCCAACCTTATGCTGGACCGACTGAATGGCAAAATCCTGCACATCGACTTTGGAGATTGCTTTGAGGTAAGCTTGATGGGATTTGCTTTTTAGAAAACGAAGCACTCAGTTAAGATAAAGACAAAGAAGGGTCCCTTCTTATTTCATGTCCCCTCAAGGCCCAAGCAACAAGACACAGAGAGAGACACGAACTCCCTTTTAGCATTAACTTAAACATGGATCCTTTAGGGTTTTCAGTTGTGGGAAAGTAGCAGCTGAAACCAAAACGGAATGAAGATCAGGAAAGACATTGGATAGAAGATTGGGCGGAACAGAACAGAATAACAGAGTTGGAAGGGACTTTCAAGGTCTTCTAGTCCAGCCCCACCCTACACCACTTCAGACAAATGGTTACCCAATTTCTTCTTAAAAACCTCCAGTGTTGGAGCATTTGCAACTTCTGGAGGCAAGTTGTTCCTCTGATTAATTGTTCTCCCTGTCAGGAGTTGCTTTGCTCCTTGGTTATTTTCCATCCGTTGCTTCTTCTCCAGCCTTCAGATTGACTCCCTCTTCTTCGGGGCAGCCCCTGAGATATTGGGACACTGCCATCATGTCGCCCCCGGCCCTTCTTCTCATCAACCTAGACATCCCCAATTCCAGCAATTGTTCTGCCATCGTTTTGCTCCCGACTCCCATGGTCCTGAAATCAGTTTGGGAAAACTTAAGTTAAAACCTCAGGAACCCGAACCACAACCCTTCCCTGCTTTGATACCTTTCACCACTCACCATTCCCTACTTTGAAGTTTCTCTTCCTTTCTTGGCCTGGATTTTAGGTGGCGATGACCCGAGAGAAATTCCCTGAGAAGATTCCCTTCAGGCTAACCCGGATGTTGACCAACGCCATGGAGGTAAGCCAGATCCTGCAACGTTCGAAACCGTTTCCTAGGAGGAGACCAGGTGCTACTTTGCCTCCCCTCCCCCTCACCTCTTGTCCTTCCCTTCCTCGGCCGCTGCTCCCTGTGAACTGACCCGGCATCTCATAAAACCATCCTACCCTGAAAATATTTTTGAAACTAGAGGCTCCAACTGTTTTCCATGCCCCTATTTGATGGGGTCGCCTTTCTGCTCCCACCACATCATAAGGCATACTGGACACTCTCTGTGTCAACTCATAAAACATGTCTACGCCCGTTTTATAGTTGCCAACAGAAAGTGGGGAGAAGGAGTTTGCAAAGAGCAGTGCAGCAGTTTGGAATCGAAAGTGCATGCCATTCATATCTTGCAAAGATGATAACTAAGCGGCAAATCTCTAATTGGAGAACATGATTGATGACTCTTGGCTATGGACGTGTTTCGTTTGGAGAATAAGAATACATCCCGAGGGGTGGAGGGAAACCAGGGTCAAGGGTGACAATGACTTATGTGTCTCAGAATCGACAACACACAGGTCATACCAACATGTTAGCTTCTCATAAATCCTCTGGAATTTTTGAAGCTTGGCTCAAAGCTCATGATGTAATTAGGGCCACGGACAGAATCCTGACACCCTCCAGGAAGCTGTTGCTAGGACTTAACGCCACCTTAACACCACCTTTAGTAACGGACCGGAAGTCCTATTTACATACCTGGTTGGTGTCTCAAGTTTGGCCAGTCAGAGGAAGGCCGTCCCACCTGCATCAAACCAGGCCCTGCATAGCTTTTGGAAAAGCCCACCTGGATGCCAACAAAGCCTCCTTGGCCTTCCAAACCTTGAACTCTATATCTTGGAGGGTTTTTTGACCCTTCCCCCCTTTTCCCAAAGGTGCTTTTGGTTTCAAAAGGCCACTGGACTTTCTTGGGTTTTCTTTGAAGGCGTTTCGTTTCTCATCCAAGAAGCTTCTTCAGCTCCGAAGTTTCAGTTTTTTGGGTGAGAAGCGAAACACTGAAAAGCATCTTGGGAACAACCATGACCTGGATGACTTGAGAACCTCCGCTGACATTCCCCCCCACCCCCCACCCCATTTTCCTTTCCCCACCTAGGTCACTGGCTTAGATGGAAACTACCGGATCACCTGCCACACCGTGATGGAAGTCTTACGAGAGCACAAAGACAGCGTCATGGCCGTATTAGAAGCCTTCGTATACGACCCCTTGCTCAACTGGAGGCTGATGGACAGTAGGTTGGCCGGAAATGGAAAAGACTGTGGCTGCACACCTGAACCGCCTCTCTCTCCCCCAAATCAGATGACAGAATACAGATTAGTCTAAAAATCTAAGTTACTTGACTCGCCCAGTTTTTAAAAAGGCATAAGCTTTTGTGAGCTCCTGCTTTCTAATAGCAATGGGCCTTTAGACTTATATGCCACTTCACAGTGCTTTCACAGCCCCCTCTAAGCTGCTTACAGAGTCAGCCTGTGGCCCCCAAACAATCCGGGTCCTCCTAATCAATTCTGTTGATTGGAAAAGGGGGGTTGGTTGCCTGATTCCTGAATTGGCTAGCGTAGAACTAACACGGCCCTCTTTCTTACGATGCCAGTTCACGTAAAGAATCTGATATTCTAGGCTGTTGTTTAATGACAGCTAGTCCTCAACTTACAAGCACACTTAAGCCTCCCCCCCCCAAAAAAAAAATTATGTTGTTAAATGAGACATTTGTTAAATGAGTTTTGCCCCATTTTTTGGGATCTTGTCACATTTGTTAAGGGAACCATTGCGGTTGTTAAGATAGCAACCCAGTTGTTAAGTGAATCTGGCTTCCCCCATTGACTTGGCTTTGTCAGAAGGTTGCAAAAAGGGGATCACGTGACTCCGGACACTGCGACCGTCGTAAATGTGAGTCAGCTGTCAAGCATCCAAATGTAAATCACGTGACTATAAGGCCATAAGTGTGAAAAATGGTCATAAGTCACTCTTTTCAGTGTCGTTGTAACTTTGAAGTGAACTTGTAACTTGTAACTTTGAAGTGAACGTTGTAACTTTGTTGTGAGTTGAGGACTACCTGTATACGGGGTATTTAGGTAAAAGAAACAAAAGCTGCTTAGGATTTACATCAGAGGTCCCCAAACTTGGCCACTTTTAAGACTTGTGGACTTCAACTCGCAGAATTCCCCAGCCAGCCGTGTCTGTTTCTTTTTTCTCTTAAACCTCCTAAAGTGGAGAGAGATTGCGAGAGGAAGGGATTACCAGAGAGCAAGCTCTGCTGGCTGGGGAATTCTGGGAGTTGAAGTCCACAAGTCTCCAAAAGTGGCCAAGTTTGGGGGACCCCTGATTTACATCAATGCTTCTCTCCAGAACTAGTTGGCTCTTCCAATAAGAGAGGTTGCTTTGACACGCTCCTGTCATATTGAGGTGGGACGGACGTGGGGGAAGGCAACCTGGAATGACTCCACTTCCTTTCTTTGCAGCAAACACCAAAGGTAATAAGCGATCTCGGACCCGGACAGATTCGTACTCTGCTGGCCAGTCAGTCGGTGAGCAGGGACCAAGGCGTCCTCTGTTTTTCTCTACGTTGTGTTGAATGGGCACAATATTTGAGTTCGCTCTCCTTCCTCTAATTTGGATTAAGCTGCAGCCAGAGGAAAGCACGCACGAACAAAGGAGCCAAGATTTCTTTGCAAAGCTCTTCTTTTGACCCCTTGACCTTTTAATCTCTGTTGAAGGGGAAGGGAGGGCAGCCCCTCCAGAGCCCCATGGAGGCTTTCTCAGTTGCAGGTGAACAGGGGGCTAGACCACACCTCATTATTCCCCCTAAACAACCTCTGCTTTACCATCTTGGAACAGTACCTACATTCTCTCTCTTCCCCCAAGCAGCCTATCTCTCTTTGCCTGCTTGAATCCATCTTAATGTAGCACAAGAAGAGCAGGATATTTTGTCTTTCTCTAACCACTTTCCTCCTTTTTAAAGAAATGCTGGACAGTGTGGAACTGGGTGAAACAGCCCACAAGAAAGCTGGAACAACAGTCCCTGAATCCATCCATTCCTTCAGTAAGTTAGTTTCCTGTCCGAGCTCCAGACATTTTTTTTTAATAGCTTCATGTCTCTGAAATTGACGTTCTGCTTCAAAATGTGCAACACAAAACAACTTATTAATAATAAGATGAGTGGTCCCATTCATGAGGGGTTCAATTACCCCTTTATAAAGTAGTTCTGCGTTAAGGGCAGAACGTTTCATGGTGGCAGGTTCCTCATTCCATCTTGCATGGAAAAGTATCTTATTCTGTCCTCCATTTACTGTTGTAGTTCCTTTGTAATGATGATTTAACAGCTGACCAGTTGCTGTAGTGTTGCAATACTGTAACGTTGTAATGATGATGCAATGGTAGCAATGAGTCAGCAGGTTTATTTGACTACTACCACTTTAAGAGGCTGTAATATAAGTGAGACCCTGTGAGGGCATATCTCTCTCTCCATGTGTGCTTCCGTGGTGTAGCTGATTATTGATTGTTCAAGGCCTGTATCAAAGTACTTGTATGGATGGATGGATGGATGGATAAAACCACACTATGTAAATACAAATCTGTGTACTTGCATTTGCTCCTGGGTTATATCACCTAGTCACACTCTGTGTGCGCTCTGATATCCTTCGAGTAAATTAATGTTATAAGAAGAAACTGTGTTATTGTAGTCACAATCACAACCTTCCCTTGATCCACTTTGGCCCGCAATTTAAAAGCCTCGAGGATCCCCAACCTTTCCTTTCAAAGATAATTCTCTAATTCCTCTTTGCTTTGTTAATATACAAGGTTGGGATGTTCAGATGTTCGGACCAATGAGCCTGTTATGGATAGGATCATTTCCCACTTTAATCAGACTCCAAAAAACTGACTTTTAAGGAGTCTAGCCAGGATGCAAACAAATAGCTGCGG